GAGCATGGATGGTGGTTGATTTTCGTTACGACGGCTATCCTTCCCCCTCAGTCCGGTCATGGCTGCTCTGGATGGTGGCAGCAGGGTCAAGGGGAGGAGCGGGCAAGGGGGACCAGCTCACGAGCGCTGTGTCTCCGTGAACAAGGGGAGGGTAGATAGATAGATAGAAAGAGAGAGGACATCATTAAGAGTACAATCTCAGGGCATTGCATTGGAGTATATTGGAATATTGGGATTGGGATATGGCGGGCAAGCTAAAAAGGGGTTGAAATGGGGGGAGGTGGGGGGTTGTTATTTCTAAATAAGGGTTAGTGACATAGATAGATAGAAGGGTTTCATGTAAAAGAGGATGGCATAGGAGCAGTGACGGTTGCCTGCTAATGAAGCATCAGGTGTAATGCAGGAACGGGGGTTGCATGGCTATATTTCGATTCGATGGCGGGTTATCATTCTTCTTTTCTTCATTTTCATCTTTTCATCTTCTGTTCATAGCAGTAGTGCTGGCTCATATCTCTCCAATCTCCTTAATCCAAGGGTATCCTAGTAGCGAACAGGGTAGACTTAGTCCTTGCCGAAGAGCAGGGCGTTCTCTTCCTGCGCCTTCTCAAAAGCTTCTTTGAAGAGAGCGGCATCTACCCCGGAAGATTAGCGTCTTATCCTGGGGTAAATATGACAGAAACAAGGAAGCAGAAACTTACTCTCGCTGTTGGCAAAGCGAATAGCCAGGGTCTGGGCCTCTGGCTCGCCCTCGCTGACATCTGCAGCAGCGTTCCACACCCAACTTCGATCACTGCCAACGTTTGGCGACAGCTTCATGTCAGGCACGACTAAGAGTAGGTTGTTAGCATGTGTTCAGCATAACCTAATGTAATAGTAACGTACCGTAGTGGTTGGCGCAGACCTTGAGAGTCTTGTCTCTTCGCATGAGCAGTCGGGTCTTGTGGTTCTCCTTGTGCTTCAACAGCTTGATGTCACCGGTTCCACGCTCCTTCCACTCTTTGGACTCCCGGTCAAATCTGAAAAGTTTGGCGCGCATCTTGAAGGTCTGCTCCTCCAGCTCTTCGTTGGTCTTGATCTCGACCTTCTCAGTCAGGCGGATGACTGGCTCGAAGTGTACGTCGGGCTCAGCCTCGGGGTCCTTCAGGGACGGACGATAGTATTAGCATGGCAACTGGCAGCAAGCAAGCCACGGCCATCAACTCACCTCATCATCGCCCTCGGCCTTCTTCTTGGAGGAACCAGATGGCTCGTCAGCGTCGTCTTCCTGCTCCTTTTTCTCCTTTGGTGGGCCGCCGCCAAACATGGAGAAGACGGAGTCAGTCGTGGCAGGTTTGCTTTCCTCTGCAGCGGCCGGCTTATCCGACTTCTCGTCCTCTGCCTCAGTCTTCTTCGACTCGTCCTCGCATGTCTTTTCGGTTGCGGTGGTCTCTTCTTTCTTCTCCTCAGTCACGGCCTCTGGAGGGGCAGAGGTAGTGGGGTCGGTCTTTTGCTCGTCTGCCATGGTGGGCGGGCTCGGTGCTGGGAGGACGGCTGGTTATGTAGATCAAGACAGGGCCGGGACGGACGCTTTATCGCTGTCGCTAAGGAAGAGCAGAAGCAGGAGATGCTGGAAGATGCGGGTGTTGTAGATGTTGCAGTTGTTGTTGTTGTTGTTGTTGTTGTTGTCCACGCAGAGCGAAAGCAAGGGAGGAAAAAAAAAGACTTGACGGTGGGCGCCTCGACAAGGTTCAGTTTGGGACTAGCGCAGCTCTCGTTCCTTTTGCCCCTGGCGGGCTCGGTCGAAGATGATGCACAGCAGGCGCTGGGAGGCGTTGGACAAGTAAGTGACTAACTAGTGGAAGAAAGAGACTGGCTGGCTGTTGAACGGCAGCTGGGTGACAGCTGCATGGCGGCGGGTTTGTCCGACTCGCTAGTTGGGGTGGGCGAGATGCCCGATGTAAGGGTGGATTGTTGGACAGTCATTAACTAGGTAACTAACTGGTTTTATTGATACATTATTCTCCTTTTTCTTCCCCTTATTCTTCTTTCTTAAGAAGCCAGGTCCTCTCTTCGGTTTGATAACTCCCAGAGCTTGCGGAAGACGGCTAATGTCCTTGAACGCATAGCTATTATTGTTGACACGATCAAGTGGAAGCCGCAAAGTTTTTTCGGAGGTCTCGGAACTTGGCCTTCAAGTCGAAACTAAAGGCAGGAGCTCGAAGCTGCTGTGCTCTCTCCTGTGCGGCTGACATCATGGAGGAAGCGGATCTCTGGGCCTTTTGATGCATCAGTTTTGCTTCTGCCTTTAGCTGGTCAGACGATTGGCGTAGGGATTCCTTCACCTTGCTGAAAAGCCGGCCTGAGGCCTCCTTGGACCTGGCTACGGATGTTTTTGCACGGCTAACAGCACGGTCAAAGGTACTGCTGATGCGGTTGCTTGTTCCGCCAGAGATTTTGTTGGCGTACATTCCCCAGGCATCATACATGCTCCTAAAGTCAAAGGTGAGTTTGATGTATACTTTTGAGAGTCCAGTTTGGGCGTCGGCCAGGTCTCCACGGAGTGTCTGGGAGAGAGACTGGGTAGCTCTCTTCCAGCTAGCAATTTTCAGCCATGGGGTGCCAAAGTCAACGCCGGTGACCTTGGTCAACTTTGGCTTTGACAGCGCAGAGACGGTAATGTTCATGGGACCATAAGCATCCTCGGGGGCAAGTCGAAGGGTAAATACGCCGTCGAACAGCTTATAGAGGTCAAATGGGAGGCCGTTGTTCTCCCGAGTCACTTTGATGTCAAACTTGTTTCCGTCTCTCACTGATACAAGGCGGTTGGGTAGCCGGACAACCATATGGTGGTCGCCGACAACATGGACCTGGACATCGTCTGATTCACTCATGCCCTGGGCTTTGGCGCAGGTGAGCTGCGTGATGAAGTCGTCCATATTTTGCGGAACACGAGAGTGGGATTCAAAGTACTGTACTCCCTCTGGAGAAGTCGACACGACCGGAGTCTTCGCACATATGACCGGTGTAGCAACGGGGGTGATAATAGTTTGAACTCTTCCTGTGACTGCACCCTCCTGGACCTGGGTAGATATCCCAAAGCAGGTATCAATGTATGGAAACGTGAGGGCTGTGGCGACCAGGGACAAGATTATTATCACGAATACATGGAAAAGGTCAGGATACTCCTCCATGAGCTGTGCAAGCTTATTTTTAAACCCTTGCGAACGGGGAGGTTTCTGTTTTTTTCCTTCTTCCTTTTTGGACTTCTCCCGGCCAGGTACGTCGCCCGGCTGCATGTATCTAGGGCGGGATCGAGACAGGGCTGAAATCATTTCGTTTTGCTCTGTCATGGTCTTGATAGCTCTCGTCAAGATATCTGCCTGCGTCTGGGTCAGATGAGATGGTGTATGCTGCGGAGAAGTATTAGCTGGGGCCTCTTTCCTTCTTCTTTCGGGCGTCTCCTCATTATGATGATTGCCTTCATGGCCATCATAGCTTTCAGGTTCGTCAAAGATTGAACATCAGAGTACGGATGATGGCAAGAGGCTCCATGGTTGTTCTGTTGCTCTAGACGGTCAAACTGTGCCGGGTTTGAAGTTGATTCGGGCGAGTCAACACCACGAGACTGGACGTAGTTTCTCTCATCTTCAGATTCTTCTTCAGATGCTTCTTCGTATTCATCTTCATATTCATCGTCATATTCTTGTTGGTCATATTCGTTATCAACTGAGTGTGCTGGGGTAGAGCCCCAGCCCGAGGGAGTGGCAACGCTGCTCCCATCTTCATTCTCGTACTCATCCTCGATATCCTCAAATTCTTCATCGTCAGTGTTGGTGAGAGGTGGAGTCAGGAGAGATGGAGTCTCGGAGGTGCTGCTAATGCCATCAACGATGCTGTAGCTTTGGTCTCCATCGCTGGCCGCTGCCTCGCTGCCGTCATAGGTTGTCATGTCACTGGCGTGGCCGGAGGATGAAGGCAGATGAGAGTGAGCGCCGTTTCTATTGGGGCCAGGGGGAAAGAGGCCCTCGATAAGTGCCCATGTTTCTGGGGTCATGTCCTTTGGTCGCTGATTTCCCTCCTCCATCGCGGGTACTGACGTCATCGCTTTAGCAGTCGAAACGGCGCCGTTATGGGGAATGGAGGCGCTGCGGGCTAGCCCAGATGAAGCAGGGGCTGGAGAAGCTGGTATCGGGGGTGCGTAGAGGAGTATGTAGCGATGGAAGACAGGCAGAGGGAAGAAGTGCAGGGACAGGAGAGGCGATCTGAGGGCAAGACAAGTAGCTAGTTAATTCGATGTTGGAAGGGTGGTGGTGGTAGGCGGTTAGATAGGAGGTATGCGGAGACAGCCGGCTAAGGAGTTATGGCGCTGTCATTTGTATCTAGTTCCCGAAACACGCAAGAGGCCCTTCACTTGTCAGAGCACGTACGTCTCTTAGGCGCGATTGCGAGCAGCTGTAGGTATGAGTTGTGCGTAGGATGAGCTGTCGATGTCGGTTTTGACAGAGCCAGGCGCGGGGGGATGTGTGTGTGCGATGGCAAAGTTGCTGCTGAGTTGTGGTTCACCAGAGGGTCAGCCACGTCGTCAGCTGCTGAGGAACTGCTGGTGCTCCCCGGGGGCCGTCTCTTGTGCTCTTTATTTACAGGCAGATGGAAATTATGGTGACGGTTTGGTTTGTTACTGGGGAGTCGAGGTGGAGTGAAAGATGTCGGAGATGGAGGATGTGGTGGTGGTGAAACCGATGTGAAGAAGAAGCAGAAGACAGAAGATGTCGTCAGACCAGCGTCAACAGCCCTAATTAATACTAATAAGCTCGAGAGAAGCCCTAGATGACGTTGCGAGTGGAAGTTCGCCGTCGCAGAGATGCTTCATGCGAGGCCTTTGGACGACGTTGCAAACTGTAGACTCCCTGCGGTAGAGGAAGACTACGATGCTGCGGCTCTTTGATACAGCTACGAGAGAGGGCCTGTCCCTGTAGATCGGAGCACATTTGCATCTAGACTTATAAGGACCCTATTTACAGCCGATGCAACGGACAAGTATCCATCAGCCCACAAAACAGGCTTCGGATATATAGTTAACTAACTGGCTGCTGCGTGTCGGGGTGAAGCAGTTGTCCCTATATTTCGATA